CCGCCCAGCGCCGCCCCCGCCCCCCGGGGAGCCGCAGGGACCGCAGGGACCGCAGTGACCGGAACTCCGCTGCTCTCAGTGCTGTGAGCCCGCACCACAAGAGGGGGCGGAAGAGCCCCTTTGTCCGCAGGAACGAACCCCCGAATCCGTGGGAGACACCCCCAGACACGCGGTGACTGAGCCCTGTAGTCCCACCTCGGCCCGCTGCCCCTGCCCCACATCCTAGGACCCCGGACTCTGGCTGCAGCCTCCCAGCCTCCCTTGGGAGAGACCTCCAGAGGACTGGGGACTGCTGGGGCGACCCCTCTGCCCAAGCTTGGCCCATCTGCACTGTACCCAGGCCTGTTCCCGCTCTGTCCCCACCCGGAGGGCGGGGAGCGCAAGCTCTGTCCCCCTAAATGCAAGCCCACTGTTCTGCTAACAGTGCTGCCTGGACACCTGGGGCTGCCGTAGGCCCTTCCTGTGGCAGGGCACAACCGGCCTGGACAGCCCATCAACCCGTAGAGCAGCCACTGCTGGTTCTGGGTCCATTTGAAAGATCCCAGGGTTTAGTGGTGCTTGAGGACCTGTGGAGCCAAGACTCCCAGGCCCCTGGTGCCCAGGGCCTAGCCGCAGGAAGAAGCCTGAGGAACAAGCCTCTTACCCAGGGGACCACGGTGCCACAGGGAAGCCCCATTCAGACACCAGGAGAGTCGGGGGCCACCTCAGGTGTCTAGAGACGGGGGAGCTGCAAACACGCCCCACACTCCCCTCTGCTGGCTGGACACCCCCCCACCACTGAGGGCAAGGGGACGCCCTCTCCCACACCAGGCCGAGTGGTCATCTGGAAACCCACGGTCACTGGGTTACAAGCAAATGGTAATGGTGACGAGGCCGTCCACCTTGTGCCCATGGCTGGGGCACCCGCTGGCGAGACCCGCCGGCCTCCACCTGGGCGAAAAAGGACGTTGTGTGCCCCAGGATCTGGTCAAGGCACGGGGCTCAAAGGCACAGGGCTCTGGCCTGGGTGCCAAGTGCCCACTCTGGGCCATGCTGGTTGGCGAGGGGCTCGGGTGGGGGCAGGATGACCTCGAGGTGTGCGGTGACTCCCAGGCCTCTTCCCATAGCCTGCGGCGGCAGGAGAGGGGCCAGGCCTTGGCCTCCAGCCACAGGCTGGGTCTGAAGCCACAGTTAACCCCACAGTGGCTTCCTGCCAGGGAGGGAAGAGGAAGTGAGGGTGTGGCCCTGGCAGTGGAGGGCAGAGGGGCAGCTGAGATGTGGACGGACGACAGGGTGGCTCCCTGTGACCTGCAGAGAGGTGGCCCTGTGTGTCCCTGATTGAAGGGGTGTTGGGAGCTGGCAGGGGCTCGGGCCACAGGTATCCCCCTCTACCTGACGGTGAGTCCTGCTGTCCCTCTGTCCTGGTGTCCCAGAGCTCAGGACACCGTCCTTCTGTCAGGTCCCTCTTCCAGGCTGCCAGACCTTGAGGACACATGCTTATCAGCTTCCCTTGAACAGGAGGCTCTGAGCTGTCTGGAAAGGCCGAGGTTCTAAGCCTGTCCTCGGGGTAGACCCTGTCCAGCTCTCCTCGGCTTCCCTGGCTTTTCTCCCAGGGCCGAGGTCGGAGCACAGGGCCTTGCGTGCCGGGCAGGTGCCATCCCTGGGCTGAGTCCCGGCCCTCCGCTGCCTTCCTTCAGCAGTTGGACTCTTTTTGTTTCCTTTTTGCTTTAAAAGAAACCCCAGGGTCTGTCTGGTGAGCGCCTTCCTGTTAGTAAGACGCGTGGCTCTTGAGCCTACGTCGCTAAGAAGAGAGGGACAGCGTTTATAAGAAGAGCCAAAGCGGGGTGCAGTGGTGGCACAGCCTGCAGCCCCAGCTTCTCAGAGGCTGAGTCAGGAAGGTCGCGTGAGCCCCGAGTGGGGGGCTGGCCCCGAGTGGGGGGCTGGCTTTGTATAGAGAGAACCTGTCTTAGGAATAAGTAAGTGACTGACCAGTAAGGACCACCCTCAGCCACCTGTCCCCCGTTTCTCATGGAAAGTCCTATGCGGTCCTAGGCAGATCCTCTCTCGTCCCCAGAAGCCACTTCAAGGCCCGTGCTGCGCCGCCAGGCAGCATGATCAGGACAGACTGCCCAGGCCACCTCCTCCTGCATGCCAGCCTCTCCCACCCCAGGCCTCCCTGGGTGGTGGGGGATTCTGGGCAGATCCAGAAGGTGGCCGGGAGCTGGGCTGCCAGGCCCGAGCACAGTGGGCACCGACGCGAGGCGGAGCTGGGAGGCGAGCTGGGACCCCGCGGAGGGCAGATCCGCTTGGGCGAGCGAGGACACAGCTTCTGGGATGACAGCTCCCAGCGCAGGGTTCTAATGGGCTCCTCGCTCCGCAGTGACCCGACGGGAGTCATTGTCAACCTGTCATCTTCAAGACAGCCCAGTGTGTGGCAGACAAAATGGGTCACCATTAGTGTAATGGGATTCGAGCAGAAAGCCTGGGCCCCCGCCCTGCCAGCTGGATCAGCCTCCCCCAGACGCCTGCTCGCCACCGCTAGGAAAAACAGTCTGCCTCCGACGGCCCGAAGGAGCACGGGCCGGCCGCAAGGGTGCCTGGCCGTGTCCCCACATGGGAGGGCACCCTCGCATGACCCTAGCCCTGGGGGAAAGCAGCCGCAGAAACCCCAATATGCACCAATTATAGGACGTCCACCTGGTTATCATCAGAAGGTGGTACGTGGGGTCAGGAAGCTGGACCTGACGGGGGAGCAGCAGTGGCCAGTTGAAGAGTAGAGCCCTACACATTCCAAGTTGAGGGGGTCACATGGTGGGCCCCTTTTTGGTCCTTCTCCTTTCCTTCTTCCTGCTTCCTGGAATGTGGATGTGAGGGCTGGAGGTCAAGCAACTGTTTTGGACCTCAAGGTGAGGGCTTCAGATGACAGACAGCAAGACCAAGAAAGCCAGGTCTTGGGTAACCCTGAGCCCAGGTCCCTGGGCTGCTGGCCTCCAGGCTTATTCCCTGACGGAGGAACGCTCTTCCCTTTTAGGCAAGCCCGTGTCAGCTGGGCTTTCCTGTCATGCACATAATAATAGATATGCTGACCAGCGCCTCCCACAAATCCCTCCACAAATCTTCTCTGAACCAGCGAGGGACACAGGCCAACGCTGGTGTCACCCCCAGTGCTGGTAAGGAGCTGGCCTGGGGAAGATGGCTCATCAAGGGTGAGGCCTGCAGGGGACGTGACAAATGTGCACCACCTGCCGGTGGCACTGACGTCATCACTACTGGGAAAGGGAGGGTGGCTGGCTGAGCTAATCCCGCTCCCCCGGGACCCCGGCCTTCCCTTCCCAGAGTCTCCAGCTCACCCCACTGCACCCAGCCTCACTCCGGGAACACAGTGGTCACAGATAAAAGCCCCCGGAACTACCCCTAGAGACTGACCCTTGTGACTGAAGTTCAAGTCCGTCGGTGTTTCTGCGTGTGTATTCCACGCTCACTGTGACTGGGTAGAGGGTTCGCAGAAATGCCTGCCTCGATAAGTTGCTTAGGGCCTCACTGAGTTACTGAGGCTGGCTTTGAACTCGCCATCCTCCTGCCTCAGCCTCCTGAGCCGCTGGGATTACAGGCTGCACCACGGCACCTGGCTGGATTGGGTACTTTTATGGAGGGGCTAAGGTTGTAGGAACTGGGGTTTGGGATGCAAGCTGAGAAGAGGGGGGTGGGGACCGCGAGGTCCAGAGGGTTGGGGATGGTTGGCAAGAGAACCCCACCTTTCCTGCAAGCCGCTTTGGGGAAGAAGTCCCCTCACTTAGCTCTGCATAGTCTTGCTGTCCGGGGACAGCCGCGGCCACACAGGAGGCTCTGAAATGGGGTCTTCCACTGTGGACTGCGATGTGCTCAGCTGGGCTGTGAGGCTGGAGAGGAGGGCAGATGGGAGGCCCAGGTGGGCTCTGCCTCAGGGAGGCCCTAGAGGCCACCTGCTTCGTGGTGGCCAGTCTTTGTAAAATCTGAAAGCAGGGCCACGACCAGGATCAGCTGACCTCTCTCTTCCACACCTCCCCGGGTCTCCCTGGCAAAGAGGCTGTGGGTACTGGCCTTCAAGGGAAAGCCCAGCTGGGCCTTGGTTTAGGTCAGCGGGTGTACTCTATGGGTCCGTGTATAGGTGAGTGGCCACAGCCATCCCGGCATACACCCAGTCTCGATCCTGACCCTAAATAGGCCACAGGCCACAGAGCTGGGGTACAGAGCCTCTCCCCGAAGCCGTAGCCTCCCAGGGAGATGGGCTCAGGCACAATGAAGGCAGAGTCCCATCTCCCAAAGGTGCTTGGTCTGTTTTGGGCTAGCAGACACTCGCTGTGGCCACTGGGCCTCACTTTAGGCCCCTCCTGGACACAGCTGCAGGGTGCTCAGCTCTTCTCCTGAGCTGGTGGGAGCTCAGGAGACAGCCCCTTGCAAGTTCTGGGCTCCAGGGCTCGAGCCATCC